TCCCTATCCTTTGTGTTTAGACCAACTATTAAGTTTGAGGGGGAACCAGTTGTTGATCGATCAAAAGGCCAAAAAGCAAACATTGAGAAAAAGTGTACAGTTGATAGCAAAATGTAAGTTGTTTTTCATCCATGCCACTTTATCTCATGACCAACGATTTCAAAATGTGTTACTCAATTGGAAAAAGAGGATCCTCCTCTCTCTAAATCTCTCAAGACCAAAGAAAGTTGTCCAATAAAGTTCCCTTAAAAAAGAAAGTAAACTTTTGAAACCTCATGCAACCATCACTACCTGTTCAAAATTATTTACTTGTGGTAATCAATCTTTTGTAGGTAACTTCTGCCCTTCTTAAAACTACATCTTTAGTTTCACTCAATACTATAATCTAGTAGTATTTCTCTTCATTTGTACATGAGAGGTCTTAGGTTCGGTTCCTGTCAAAGGTGAATTTGAACCACATTATTATAGCTCGACTATTGTGAGACTTAACTCACTCCCCATTCCTTAGTGTAAATAATATCGTTTGTTAATAAATAAATAAATAAATAAATAAAAAACCTAACTCTTTAGTGTGGGCATCTTATCACTGTGGCCACAATATTTTGCTACTTTATCTCCAGAACTTCCCCACCTGATGACTACTACATGGCAAGAAATTTACACAGGTTTTAAGTTCAAGCAAGCATCCAGTTTAACTAAATTTCAACACAATTAGTACAACAACTTGAAGCCAAAAGGGTTGATTAGATCAATATTACTCCGCATAAGTTGGCTTTGGTGAAAATTAACCAATCATTGACCCACCAAGTCGAATCGGTGCACCCTCGGATGCTCTCCTTGTCTACCTATTTGTGTTAACAAATTTTCTTGTTGCTTATGTCACAACCAGAATCGTCCAATAATTACCATGTAAAATTAAAAACAAAAATGAATTGACGTTTCGTTTGGTAATCTATATGTGTTAAATAAATGAACGGTTTATTATGAGCGTTGGAATTGTTACCAAACCATTGATTTGCTTGATATTATGAACTATTAAACGATCTCTAATTTAATTGATTTAACTTTAAAAAAAATGAACGTTTTCAATTATGATAAGCGTATCACGAGAATTTGTTAGTCGTACACAAGAAATTGCACTCGAGGATGCACCTAATCTTGTTCAACCAAATTAAGTTTCACATGAACCAAAGCATATTGCGACGTTGGCCGTGGCTGCCCTTTTGCATTTTAATTAATATTCAATGTCTAATCCCTAGCCATTACCCAATGCTTACCTTTCCGGCCTACTTATGAAAAGAAAAGTGAATCCTCTCTTTTGACCTCTTCGCTTTTCCATAACCTTTCTTGCGACATAGCAATGATCAATCATCAAAACCTAATTAATCTCCATGGTAATTTGGCTTTGTAGCTCCTTTCACGCGGAGCTTGATAAACAATACGTAAACCACTTAGTTAAAAGTCATACAACTTTTCGTGTGAGCGTCTCATGTTAGCGTGATTCTTTTAGAAATTACATTTTATGTAAGATCATAATTAGACGTAGTAATTTTTTACATGACTCATTAACTTGACACGAAATTATACGACAATAACGGATTTTGGGTCTACTTGTTAACGAGTTGGGTCGTTATCGGATCATCCATTAAAAACCCGATAAAATATCGTTTGTCAGATCTAGACATTAGACATAACAATTTTTTGCAGGACCCGTTAACTTGACACGAAACGATATGACTCGTTAATGAACTAGATCGTTATTAAGTCACATGTTAAGAACTCGTTAAGATAACAGATTTGACACGACACGACCGGTTAAAATAACAAATATGATACGATTGGTTTGTCAGACCTAATCATACTATAAAAGAGGACCCTAACCACTAGTTGACACGAACACGATTGATTTGATGATGATGTAGGAGCATGGAGCGTGTATTATTTTGGTTTCGATGGAGTTGGGAAAATGGCCAAGTCGTTGTACGAAAGTCATTTCTTAATTTGGTGCTAAGTCCTTGTTCAAAACAAAGTAAAGGGTACAGAATATGTTTCCTTTTTGGTATTGTTTGGTTTTGTATATAGGTTTGGTTGGTAAACCATCTCTTAATATTGCATGGTGCTATTTTCTCTTTTTGCCAACTAGTGTTTATTAAACGTTCGATCATCTCTATCCTAATTCCTACATGACATGACACAGACCTCTCTCCCTCTCTTTCTCGTATAATGATAATTATATTATAATTAGCTTAAACAAGAGCGTTTGTTAGCTACAAATCATTTTATAATTCAACATGACATGATGGCGTGGTGTAGGATTATAGGAGAGCTTTTTTAGTGTGTTCGGAATATGAAGTAATACATCACGTGTCATTATACAAGTGTTGGATACTCATGTTATAAAATTAACAACTTGAAATATAAAACTTCTCTCCACTTATATAATGACACATACCATTTTGTATTCCGAACACACTAAAATTTTTCTCAAATTATACATAATTATCATCCTTAGTTAATCATAATACCTCTGCACACCTAAATCCTAATTATATATCCTAAACCTACATCTCTTTAGACTTTAGTGAGCATCAACAAATCAATTAATTTTTTTTTTTTGGTGAACATAATATCGTGGGAGATTTACCTACACGATCATATATAATATATAAAATATACTATTATATATGTATGTATGTAGGTATGTATGTATCTGTTCCTCCTAATTAATTAGGTATAGTAGTTGCTAAGTGATTGTTACTAAAGTCATCGAGTATTCTAGGTTTATGTGGTCGATCGAGTTGGTTGCATGCGTCTACACTTCATGAAGGAAAATTAGGTACTCATGCATGCAACGATCAATAATTGTCAGGATCTATCAATCAAGAAGGAAGCTAATACATCCTAGTGAATTTATTTATGTATTCATGTACCACCTAGCTCATACTGGTGCATGTCAGATCGCTAACAGTAATTCTCTGTCAAAATATGAGAAATTTTGTAATTGGAACACTAATGGTACACTACGTATTGTAATATAAGTGGTGGGAAGTTTAAGTTTTTAAGTTCTTAAATTTTCATCACACATATCCCAACATTGAAAAAATTCTTGTTAAACATAATGTCAGATTAATGATGAAAAGAAGCGTATAATAGACTTGACCTTATGTATTATTGGAGATAAGATAATTAATTAAGTAAATCATAATGATAGACAGTAGACACCACAATTATATCTAACGATATACATGCATGCATGCATGCTTCCACATATATAAAGCATTTTTTTCATTTCAAATTGAAACCAAACTGCACTTAACTGAAAAGATGATTTCCCCTTCAACCTCCTTCACATAATTTACCAAATATTTAATATGACATTGCCAATTTATACCTGCATTTGAGATCCTGTAATTTAAGTAATATTTATTCCCCTGCACTCGAAATCCCGTCTTCGAATCACACTATTAGAACCCTAGACCCTAAATTCTAAACCACCGCCCGCATTAACTTGAAAGGGATATTACCACATGTAGCAGGAAATGACTCCACCATAAGAGAGCTAAAGCACCTCAATCTCTTTTACCAAAATGAGATATTTGACACCACCTCAAGTATATCTGTCGGTGGTAACTACCATGGGGTGCCTAAAAGTTGAGGACGAATTTCAGGTCCATATTTCACGCGGCACATCTTGGGTTCGATTCCTGGCACTGATGAATCACACGATGATGGTCAGGAGGAGGCTTAAATGTTTCTTGAGTCTTCTCGGCCACCGAAAATGCGGATTGCCTTGACAAAACCACCTACTGGTCTTTTTTTTTTTTTTTTTTTTTTTAAGTATCTGTCGGTGGTCATCTCTAAAAAAATCCACATTAATATTTTTTGTAATTTGAAATATGTTGCCTAATGTCATTCTTTAGTCACTTCACCTGTCTGTCATGTACAATGTTTTTTTTTGTTTTTTTGGGACAAATGTCATGTACAATGTTTTAGTCGCCTGTTTTATGTATGACAAACTAATGTTAACTCGTTTTCTTCAACAATATTTGGATAACCAAACATTATAAAGGAATCTTCTTTCCGGTTAGCTTTTGCATATCTCCTCTCGAAAAGTTTTATATCATGCTTTATTGTATGACATGCAAAGTCAAACGGAGAGTCAAGATTTTTCTTTTCTTTATTTGGTCAAAAGAGTCTTAAGAAATATAACCGGCTAAATATTCGGTAAATTAGTTGTGCGGCGAATATAACATAAACGGGACTGAAAAAAAGACATGAATCCCCGTTTGATATCACCAACTATCATGCTTAATGGGGAGAAGTCCTAAAGAAGCATAGTTTTATAGGTGAAATTAGGTGGTAATTATTCTCTCTGGTCGTTCAATGAAATTGACAACCTAGAATAATCAATTGGCCTTTTCGTGTTAATATATAATATTACATGTGTTGGTCATGTTTGAGATTTGACGCGTAACTTGGGGTTCTCTCTCTATTATATGAAGATAGATAAATTTCTCTCTTATCGCGTGACCAGAAAATAAAGAGGGATATATCCTAATTGCCCAAGATTAAAAGGTGACTTCCTTTTAGAGGGACTTGTTCCATTCCAATAAGAGATACAAGAGTGACGGTGAACTCATGTCATAAAGTTCTCGGATCCCCTTCTCTCCATCTGAGTTTGGACTTCACATTTTAGGTCTTGTATGACTTGGGCTTCAAATGATTTCTCTTCGGCCCAAGTCCGTTTTTATTTTGGGTCAGTCCTTGAAAATTATGGTCCAAAAAGTTTATATAGTGTTGGTTTATGCATTCCTTACTAATTTTCTTTGATATATAGCTGTATCTTCTGATCAATGCAAAGGGGAAAATTCGAGCTTTGGATTCAATTCAGTGCTTAATTTAGTTTCAAAATTGGAGTTAAAACACATCATTCTCCAACTTCATTCCGTACCTCGACCGGAAAAACGACAAATTGTTTTCACTTATTTAAAATAAATAACTCTGATAATGATATTACAGAAGAATTTTATTGCCTCAAAAGTTTACTTCTACAAATTGAATGATTGAACAAAAACTTATTGGAAAAAAAATGGTTAACACATCTCACATATACTCCAGTGTGACACTGTTTCACTTGATTGAGTACTGTAAACGTTGGTTTGCCGTCCCACACCACACATGCGTTTCATGACAATGAATTTTCAATGCCCGATACAGAAAGTACACAATGCTACAGAAAGTTTGTCGACTTTCAAATGTGCAGAGTTGCTGCCTCTGCTGCATCAACCAACGGCTGCGGCACAGGGTCTTGCAGGTCGGGATTGATAGGAAACATATGACACTGAGCAAAATCTGCCATTAGTTGGTCCACGAGCGCAAGCGCTATTACAGCTTCCACCATCGGCACAGCTGCGCCATTCCACCACGCAAAACATATGTAAGCAAGGACGAAAGATGAGAGAGTATGAAATGGCCTAAATTAATACAAATTTTGCTAATAAAGACCATAGAAGACCAAATCACATTCCTAACCTAATGGATATGCTTCCATTTTTTTTAGATTAATTATATCTAATAGCAGAAAAAAGGAAAACAAGTTTGAAAAAAGAATGGGCATAGAGAATGATGCATCAGAGTTCACATATCATTCACACACGTACCTCGCGGAACAACACAAGGATCATGGCGACCACGGGCTATAAGTTCTATCTCCTTTTTATCTCTAGTCACTGTATTCTGTTTCTTCTGCGCAAAACCACCACGATAGATTGGTCAGTTATAGTTTTCTGTTTTGACAAGAATTACATATATATGAAATAAAGACCCGGGTTTGGCTCAAGATTCTCCTATTGACCATATATACAACAGGAATAATACCAAATTGTAGAATAGATATGATTAATGAATACATAGCGTGGAAACCGATATTCCTTTCAAGTTAGTACTCAGAGAGAGAGAGAGAGAGAACAAGAGGTCGGACATACTCCAATTGTAGCTGTTGGCTTGAAAGCTATTCTCATGTTTATGATTTCCCCATTGGATAGTCCTCCCTGATTGCCAGCATATACAATGTCAGTGTAGAAGAGATGCTAGACAAAACATTTTACCAACTTACTCTACATTCAGAAGAAGTAGTGGGAATCTACAAGTACCTGTGTCCCGCCAGAGCGATTTGTTCTTGTCCTGATTTTTCCTTGATCATCCAAATAGAACTCATCATTATGTTCACTCCCAGTTAAAAAGGTACCTGTTAGGTATAGTATTCGAGAACAAGAAGAACTTACTCAAAATATAGTTGGAGAAAAAAAATTTAAAAGCTCCATCACAGTAGAAATTCTTGCAACTGTTCTTTAATCATCAAGTCCAGTTTAAGTAACCCAAAAAGTTTGAATATTAACCTGCAAATCCACTTCCAAATTCAAATCCCTTTGTTGCAGGTAATGACATAACAGCTTTAGCACATTCAGCTTCAAGTTTATCAAAGACTGGTGAACCAAGCCCCTGAGATACAAGAAAATGATCGTCAATTCTCCATATATGACTTGATGAAGATTAAACAAATTACTGAAAGAGCAATACAACTTTGCAGAGGTTAAGGTAAAGAGTCTGCCCCCTAATCTAAACAGTTGAAGACATGCACTTGCAGAGAGAAACATTGAGAGAGAGAGAGAGAGAGAGAGAGAGAGAGAGAGAGAGAGAGATTACTGGCGGGCAATTTCTAACAATGCATGTGACAACACCACCAATGGATTGCCCCTTCACCCTGACAGCATCAATGGCTGCGATCATCTTCTCTGCATATTCAGGATCTGGGCACCTAACGATATTACTCTCTATCTGGCAATACGTCACAAAAGAATAAAAAATAAAGGTTCAGTGAGTGAGCACACACAACTGATTAACCGCTCATAAACACAAAATTCAAAAGAATTTTGTTGAATAAGAAAAGATAAATGTGTGTCAATAAGTACTTCAAAAATGCACCCAGAGAAAATGAGTTAATCTAAAAAGAGCAAGCAACAGACTGGTACTTGTCTTTCTTGCTTTGAATCAATTTGAACTGAGATTCTGACATGAAACCTCGAACAACTCTGGATTCAATTACTAAGGGAAAGGTATTCCTATGGAGAGTCTGTCTTCCAATAGGTCAGCTACAGGTTGGAACCAATTAGGAGACACTTCGTGAAGAGGGAAATTTTCTTCCCAGATTTGGAAGAGTGGATACTTCTGTAGTCAACAACTCAGGAAATAGAGGTAGATGTGACAACCCCATAAAAAAAATTCTATGTAGCAAGCGTAAAAGCCTAAAATGTCACGTTGCAAATTGAGGCACTCAAGTTTGTAGAGGTGAAATACTGTTTGAGTGTGAACAGAGAAACATCCCGGTAATTACGTTATAGACTACAATAACATTCAGAGTTTAGTCTGCACTTTAGTTACTCTTGTATCAACATACAACTCCCATTTTTTGTTGCTACTCTTGAATGGTTTGCTACAAAAGATTTTAAATTACTATCCATTCTCGCACCTGATCAAGTGTCAAAGTGTGATGATCAACCAATTCCTCGGGAAGCACAACCTTATGAACTTGTGAAACATAAGCTAGGATCTGAAATGTGACAAACATTAGGGAAAAATCTTCAAACTTATGACAAGAATTTCAATCAGTAAAAAATGGTGCAGAGGATAATTTATGGACACAGTTTCCAATAATATCACTAAATCTATGACACACAAAATTGGCAACAGAAGTTTGGAAACTTTTCTTTCAATCAACAGGCAGGACAATAATTATTAAAAGACTCCAAACTTCAGGTACTCATTCGCTATGGTCCAAGGACAGGGACATGAGTGTCATGTATTGACAAGGACATGGGGTTCCCGGCAAGTCCACTTCCAAAAGCCTAAGCACTTGGACATGCCAATACATGTGTAATTTTTTTTAGTGGAAAATTTCATCATTTATTAAGCCAATTATCACAGAAAATTAACATTAGTAACAACCATTTTTTCATTTTCAGATTTTCTTGAAAAAACTCTCAAGGTTTAAATAAGTTTGTAACTTTTCTATGCAAATGAAGATGTATTTTCGTAAGAATCCAAAGACGTCATTAACGTGGGTGGACACAACTGATGTGTCCTTAGATGTCATATACAGAACAGTCATAAGTCACTCAGTGACAACTGTAAGTCAGGTGTTTCCTGTCTATCTTGAATTTATCAGGTAAAATCAAAACTAATTATAGCAGGAGACATTTACAATTTGACAAAATACTACAATAAGGAGAAAAAAAATGATTAAATGACCTGGAGTCTCGAGCATCACCATGCAAGTATTCAAGGATACACATAGTTTACTACACACACCTCAGTTCCTGAGAAAGCCTTAAGGATTTTCTTGGCAAGGGCTCCAGCTGCAACTCTTCCAATTGTTTCTCTAGCAGAAGATCTACCACCACCCTTCAATTACAAATTAGGTAGATTTATGTATCTGAAATTCCAAATACGATTGTAAACCTTTAATCGTTAAGCTTAATACCATTACCTGCACTGATCTGATACCATACTTTTGGTCATAAGTTCGATCTGCATGTGAAGGCCTATAAGCTACTGACATTTCGTCATAATCCTGAAATTATAGCGACAGAATTATTTCCATGCACCATAAAGAATGTCAACCGACTCAATTATACAGAGTATAAGTGCGATGGTTAATCTACGGCATCCTATATATCATGAGTCAGTGAAAATACTAGAAAAATATCAGTAAACTCTTTAACCAGTTCTAGCACCCAAAATACAAACTTTTTAATCAAGTTCCACAGCCCTCACAATGTGTTCGTCAACTTATCTAATCTGCCTGGAAAATGTTTGGGCACCTCAAACAAGCATCATGCATCCAACACATTTAATACAGATATGCACTTCAATACATTTAAGCTTTGTCTAGTTTCAAAAACGATGGTCACATGATTAAATAGATTAAAAGCTACAAATTCCATAGCCCAGAAAAAATAAAGGTAAAAACCACGAGCGAAGAAATACTAGTCTTTAGACCCTCCACCCGTTTTCATTCCTCTTCATATATATGCCCTCTAACACAGGATACTTACACGTCCTCTCTGATCAGTATTGGGTACAAGCACAAGAATTGGTGTCCCAGTTGTCACTCCTGCAGTCAATTATAACATCAAATGAAGTAAATGCCAATGAAGACAAAAAAAGGAACACCCCCTTTAAATAAACACACACACACACACACAAATTCCACAAAGATCTAACCTTCATGAACTCCTGAAAGTATTCGGCATGTGTCAGTTTCCTTCCTAGGGGTAGTAATTCGACTCTGACCTGGCCTCCTGACAACCCATAAGAATTTTGCATCAAAACAAACGAGAATTCAACAACTTTAGAGGAAGCTATCATGATTCTTGCATAGAATGATCTATACTAATGTCCCAATATAAACACCAATATATCTAAGGAAACTAATTGTGACAGCATGCAATGATCCCAGACCAAAAACCTCACAAACTCTACGATGAATTGAACATGTAAAAGACATACTAGTAAAATATCCTTAAATTGAACGTGAAGTAGGCATCAACCCATTACAACTGCCATAACGCACAAGTCAGGTGCGTCGTTCAGCTACCCCAAGAACTTTAAAATGAACATGACAAGGGCAAGCCCGGTATCAAATACCTTCTGTCAAGGTCACCTTGCAAATCTTCTACGGAGAGCGGCATACGAGGAGGGCATCCATCAATTACACAACCAACACCACCACCATGAGATTCCCCAAAAGTTGTAACACGAAAATGATTCCCGGTAGTATTCCCAGCTGCCTGCACCTCTGAAATTCAACACCAAGACTTTCAGAATTGATCTCAAAGTTGTAACTTACTACTCTCTAACGTATCAAAATTCCATTTATTTTGAATTTATATTACAGCAGATCCAATTGTTTCTTTCAATCCCGGGAATAATTCGACCGAATATAAACATGTGTACTTAGATTTTAGAACTTGGGTAGTGATTGCAAAAGCTAATTAAAGTTATAGTCTTTAAAGTGAAAGATTCATGATTTTTGTGCACGAAACAATTTCAGTAGCTGCTGCAATGCAGATAACAAAATTCTCGCACATTGCAATCGAGGAAGTAGAAAACAAAGCTAGAATCTTTCTAGCTAAACAACACTGAGCAATCAAATGAACAACAATCAGAGAGAGAGAGAGAGACTGACGGAGTTTCTTGGGGTTTCTCGGGCGGATCACAAATTGAACGGAGGAGGACGAGAGGGTCCGAAGATCGGAGGAGGAGCACAACCCAGAAAGCCCATCGGTCGTTGGAGCTCCGAGGAATGGTTTGGAAGCGAGAGAGGAAGCCATGGCAATTGAACCCCCTGAAACTTTCAAACCACCAACCACCTAAAACAACGAGAAGAAAAAGGAAGAAAATGAGGAAAGATGAGAATTCGATTTAAAAATATTTGGGTGATAAAAATGTGATTTGTATGGAAAATATGGAGGGAGTGGATGGGCTTAGAATTTAGATGCGAAAAGTATGTTTTGAGTGAAAAGTCGGGCGTGCAGCCGGTATCGTATTCGTAGCTGCCATACAATCCACCAACCCACTTCCACCTACCCCCAAATCCCAAGATTTTTTTTTTCAGAACGTAACGTAATTGGTACACTATGTGTTTTAATAGAAGTGATAAAAAAATTTATTTTTTAAGTTATTAACTTTTTATCACACATATCTCACTATTTGTATAATGACACGTGATGTATCATTCCCTGTACCATCACGTTTAAAAATCTCCCAAATCCCACAACTCCTCATTCTTCAATCTTTACCCCCCCTTCAAAAAAAAAAAACCTTGAATTATTTAATTTTCTATTTTTTTTACTTTTCTTCTGGTCAATTCATATTTTTTTTGTTTTGTACTCGAGAGCATCTAACAACATATCTTCACAGATCAATGACTATGAGATTTCCGGTGGGTTATTTGGATCGTCTCAGGAACCTAAGAATTAAAATCTAGACCGATTAAGAAAGAGAAAGAGAGACTCGATCTTTGATTTGTATGAGGTGAGCCAAAGATTTCTTGATCCTTGGCTCCATAAAAACATGCAGACTTTATTTACATTACTTGCAACTCCTTTTTTTTTTTTTTTTGGTTAAAGAAACTCAACGTTAAGAACAAACGTTGATATAACTTAAAACAATATGATATATAGGGCAGAGTCTTGAACTTGAACAACACAATCAACTACAAGCTAAAAGGCACGAATACATTCTTTCTTTCTTTTTAAAGCAACCTCGTCGGTACGAGGAAAAATTTTATTGAATAAAATAAAAGAAGCTACACCTAGTCATATGAGACATAAACCTTACTCCTTAAAATAAAGAGAGGATAAACAAAAGAAAGCAAAAATACAAGAAAATAAGGGGACATACACTTACATAACGTGAAACAAACTTATAACTAAACATATAGAAAGAGAAGGAAAGAAACCACAACTGAGAAAACAAACGACAACAACAACAAATGCATAACATTGTAACTCTATATTTTCCTTATCATTTGTCTGATCGTTCCAACTATCTTAAGAAACAAGTCGGGCCTCCTTGTGATGACAGCATCTGCAAGAACCACTCCCACTACCAACCCACTTCCACATCCGGCCGAAACAATTTTCCAATCAAATTCAAATATCCCTGCTAAGCTAGAATCACCTTCGTCTACGGTTGAAGGTGGAAGTTGAGGGGCCTTAGGATTTCCGCATTTCTTTGGCAATGGATCCCCACACAACCCTGGGCTTCCCTCGTATGAAGTGATATTCAATGAAGTAAGTTGGGTTCCTTGTGGTACAAGACATGTGAGATTGTTGTGACACACATTGAAATGGGCAAGAAAAGTTAGTTGCATCGGTTGTTGGGGGATCCGTCCTGAGAGCTTGTTTTGTGAGAGGTCCAACGATTCCAAGCTTCATCAAGTTTCCGAAGGATGACAGGATAGAACCAGTGAGAATGTTGTGGGAAAGATTCAGCGAACGAAGCTCCTTAAGATTCCCAATGAATTATGGAATCTTCCCTTCAAAGTTGTTGCTTGAGATATCAAATGATGCAAATTCTTCTCGAATCTTTGGATAGTATTGCTCCAAACCTTTTGTTGCTATTGTGAGTGGGTAATCAACACTGTTAACCATCGTGAATTCACTGACATCATAAATTATGTCTGTTTACATATATGTTGACTTGTTTATAATAATATGTGGAAACACGGATGGAACCGCACCAGTAAAATTATTGTAAGCCAAATCAAGAATGCGCAACTTGCAGAAATCGACATTCTTTCTAGATTTTCCAATCACCCGGTAGAATCCATTATGGCGCATTGCCAAAAGCTTTAACTCTAGAAGAGTCCCCAACCAAACGGGAAAAACACCATCGAATCGATTGTTTGACAAAACAAGATACTCAAGCATCACACAATTGGCCAATGACCTCGGCAACTGCCCCTGCAATTTGTTATGACTCAAATCAATCATCCTCAAACTGCTTATGTTGTTGTATGTTTGAGGAATGATTCCGTGAAAAGAGTTTTTTCCAAGAAGTAAAAGAATCAAATGATCACTAAAGTTTCCGAGACATTGAGGAAGCAAGCCACTCAAGTTATTTCTCGACAAGTCAAGGTACAGAAGATTTTTCATATTGCAAAGCAACGGTGAGATTTCTCCAGTAAAGTTGTTGGTTGTAGCTGCATATCCTCGCATGGTTGGTGGAGGTATTGGTAGTAGTCCATGAAACATGTTGGACGAAATCCTTAAGCATATCAAGTTCACCCAAGGAATGACAAGTGGAGGTTGGTCTGAAATGAAGTTTTGAGAAATGTCTAACAATACCAAAGTTTCTGTGCTTGTGTTCCACATCCATTTTGGTACTTTGCCCCGGATTTTATTGCTAGAAGGGTCCAAACGCTCCAACCTTTTCGGATATTGTAAGAAAGATGGAAACTCTCTTACGTTGCAAAAACTCAATCCTAGAATGGTGAACTGCGGAACTGTTGAATTCACAAATTTTAACCTGTTCCTATTTAATTGGAGTTGGTAAAGAAATTGTAGATTTTGAAACATATGAAACTCCAGTGTGCCACTCAGACTATTCGAATGTAGACAAAGGATCTGAAGGTTTGTGAGATTGGAAAATGATGCAGGAATTGAACCATTCGGTCCATTAAAAGCAAAATCTAGGCAAGTTAGTTGGCTTAAGTTACCTAGCCAAGATGGGATTGAACCGGTTAAATGACACCAACCAATCCTAAATACAGTTAGCTGGGTAAGATTGATTGGCTGAAATGTCTAGATAAGTGAGCTGCATAGCCAATCAATCGCTGGAACCAACCCTTTCGAAAATTAGCAATGAACCACATCCAACTCTAGCAGTGAATCAAGCTTTCCTAACGAATAAGGTATGTTCCCGAAAAACTTGGTATAGGAAACTTTCAGAACCATGAGAGGACTAGTTCGATTAAATTCAGGAAAATATCCAGTCAGACCTCGGTTCTCACATTAAGACTTTCTAAGTTTGGTAGTCGGAAAATTCTCACCGGAAATTCACCAAACAGGTGACAGTTCCTGAGGGCTAGGGTTGTCAAAGATGATAAATTAGCCATTATATGTTTACGAAGTTGAGAGAAAGTACTCCTAGACTAGTTTAGTTTTGAACTAGGCTGCCAAGATCCGATGTTGCAAGTTTCAAGACGATTCTCATTTTTGACAATCTATCGAGATTGAGAGATAGATCAAGGTATGTCAACTTGGATAAACAATGAAACTTGAGAAGGGACTTGACCAGAAAAGACAGAGCTAAAGGGGTCAAGATGAGTAAGGCTTGGGAAATTTCCTAATGCTGGTTGGAGTTTGAGAGTAATTGAAGTTATTGTCAGAGAGGTTTAACCTTTGAAGATGAACAAGGCGGAAGAGGCTGCCGTTGGTGTTCATAGAGCCGTGGAGACAACTGCTGCCAAGATCAAAAGCCTAAAACGTCATGCTGCAAATTGAGGTACTCAAGTTTGTAGATGTGAGGTACTGTTTGAATATGAATGGAGAAGCCTCCCGGTAATTACTTTATAGACTACAATAACAGTCAGAGTTTTAGTCTGCACCTCACTTATAAAGGAATGAGACAGATTGGAATGCTATTCCTTTTCCTGGACTCTCATTTTTTGTTGCTACTCTCGAGTGGCTTGCTACGAAAGATCTTAAATTAATATTCATTATCGCACCTGATCGAGTGTCAAAGTGTGATGATCAACCAATTCCTCGGGCAGCACAACCTTCTGAACTTGTGAAACATAAGCTAGGACCTGAAATGTGACAAACATTAGGGAAAAGTCTTCAAAATTATAACAGGAATTGCAATCAGTAAAAGAAGGTGCAGATGATATCAATAATGTAACTAAATCTATGACACACAAGATTGGCAGGAGAAGTTTGGAAACTTTTCTTTCAATCTTCAGGCACTCGTTCGCCATGATCCAAGGTCAGGGACATGATTGTCATGTATTGACAAGGACATGGGGTGCACGTCAAGTCCTCTGAAAGCTAAGCACTCGACATGCCAATACATGTGTACTTTTTTGATGGAAAATTTCATCATTTGTTGAGCAAATTATCACAAAAAATTTACGTTAGTAACAACCATTTTATCTCTGAAAAACTCTCAAGGTTCAAATAAGTTAATAATTTTTCAACGCAAATGAAGATGTACTTTCGTAAGAATCCAAAGACGCGACCAACTTGGGTGGACACAAGTGTTGTGTCCTCAGATGTCCTATACAGAAAGATCATAAGTTATTCAGTGACAACTGTAAGTCAGGTGTTTCCTGTCCATCTTGAGTTTATCAGGTAAAATTAAAACAAATAGCGGGACGCATTTGCAATTCGACAAGGCTGTACTACAACAAGGAGAAAAACAAAGATTAAACGAACTGGAATCTCGGGCATCACCGTGCAATTATTTAAGGATACACATAGTTTACTACAACCACCTCAGTTCCTGAGAAAGCCTTGAGGATTTTCTTGGCAAGGGCTCCAGCAGCAACTCTTCCAATTGTTTCTCTAGCAGAAGATCTACCACCACCCTTCAGTTACAAATTAGGTTAAGATTTATGTATCTGAAATTCCAAAATACGCTTGTGAACCCTTAATCGTTAAGCTTAAAACCATTACCTGCACCGATCTGATTCCATACTTCTGGTCATAAGTTCGATCTGCATGCGAAGGCCTATAAGCTACCGACATTTCGTCATAAACCTGATATTCCAGCGACAGAGTTATTTCCATGCACCATAAAGAACGCCAATTGATACAACTCTGCTCGTCTGTACAACTGACTCAATTATACAAAGTATAAATGTGACGGTTAATGTACAGTAACGAGTTCTAGCACCCAAAATACAATTTAATCAAGTTCGCAGCACTCACATTGTGTTCGTCAACTTATCTAATCTGTCTGCAAAATGTTTGGGCACCTCAAACAAGCACCATGCATCCAACACATTTAATACGGAGATGAACTTCAAAATATTTAAGCTTTGTCTAGTTTCAAAAATGGTTGCATGATTAAATAGATTGAAAACTACAAATTCCATAGCCCAGAAAAAATAAAGATCAAAAAACACGAGCAAAGAAATATTAGTCTTTAAACCCTCCACCCGTTTTCATTCCTCTTCATAGGTATGCCCTCTAGACTGGATGCTTACACGTCCTTTCTGATCAGTATTGGGTACAAGCACAAGAATTGGTGTCCCAGTTGTCACTCCTGCAGTCAAATATGACATCAAATAGAATACACGCCACTGAAGACAGCTACAAAAGGAACCACAACCCCAAATAAACACACACACACAAATTCCACAAAGGTCTAACCTTCATGAACTCCCGAAAGTATTCGGCATGTGTCAGTTTCCTTCCTAAGGGTAGTAATTGGACTCTGGCCTGGCCTCCTGACAACCCATTAGTTCATAACAAGTTTGCATCAAAACAAACGAGAACTCAACAATTTTAGAGGAAGCTTTCCATGATTATTGCATAGAATAATACATACTAATGTCCGGATATAAACACCTATATATCCAAGGAAACTAATATTGCCAGCATGCAATAATCCCAGACCAAATGCCTCACAAACGCTACGTCGAATACCTTCTATCAAGGTCACCCTGCAAATCCTTTTCGGAGAGGGGCAAACGAGGAGGGCATCCATCAATTACACAACCAACACCACCTCCATGAGCTTCCCCAAAAGTTGTAACACGAAAATGATTCCCGGTAATGTTCCCGGCTGCCTGCACCTCTGAAATTCAACACCAAAACTTTCAGAATTGATCCTAAAGTTGTAACTTACTACGATCTCTAACATATCAAATTTATATTACAACAGACCTATGAAGCATGACACGGATACAGATATGGCGATAGGATACGACACCAATAAGGCAATATGAAAAATCTCTAAAAATTAAGATATGGTGCGCTATAGATACGGCAAGTAAAAATATATAGAGCAACAGAAATATACATTTTAAAACATTATTCATCTTTCAAATTCACGTACATTTAAGTTGTTGGAGAAGAATAGTTGGAAATATAATCCTCTTTATATATAGTAGAAGAAGTGTGAGAATTGTATTCAAGGTTTTAATTAGAGGGAAACTCTTTGTATTCATCAACTTTCAATTGTAATGTCTCCTATTAATTTACTCCTCCTTATTATCTTTTCTGAAAGTGTAAATGTATCCTAAAAGCCGGATACTTATATCCTAAATGTACGATACACGTATCCATCAAGTCAAATCCGTGTCCATTGACCAAAATACGTGTCTGACGAGTATCCGAGAGTATCAAACTTATCTAATCAAGTATCAGATACAAGACACGACCAAAGAAAAGTATCCGTGCATCATATATAGCAACAAACCTAATTGTTTCTTTCAATGTCGAGAACAATTCCAGCAAATGTAAACATGGATCCTTAGGCCTTCTCCAATAGAGGGGGCTAAATGACCAAAAGCCTCAAAAACTCATCTCCAACCGATGGTTGGACTATAATTCTTTAGAGCCTTATATGGCCAAAGAGCAATGGGCTTGCTAAATGTAGCCCCCCTTTTAGCACTTTTTTTTGGGGCCCCAACTCCTTAGTTACAATAATTGATTCAAATTCAACATTAGATTTGAAAACATCAAAAGGTAGTTTAATTAAATTAACCAATAAATTTAAAGTGTAAATTTAAAGCTAACAAATTATTGAGGGGCTATGTTTGGCTCATTCGATTGAAGATGGTATATGAGTATGGTTTGATACTGTTTATTTAAAAATAATTGTTTGTAGAGCTATAATTCTAAACGGGGCTATATCTAGCCCTTTTGGTTGGAGATATAGTCTTAGGTGGTAGAGCTAGAATTTAACTCAGAAGGGTTCAAAAGTCTCACCCTAAAACACTCATCTAAGAAAAATAAAGATATGTCGTGCCCTGTGTTACCAACCACCATCATTTGAGTTTGGTATGACATCGTTCTTGTCATCCTCTAGCTCAATCAACTCTCATGCCTAGTATCACGACTCAGATTCAAAATAACAGTCATTTTAAGCGGAAGAATGAAGGGAGCTCTCTCGCCCACTTCCTCTCTCTCCCTCTTCTGATCACTTGAGTCCCCCAAAACTCATAGTGACGCCAGTTAGCTGCATAACAGCCACTAGCCTTAAATCGAACCTAGTGAAGGAAATAAGGAACCAATTTTGGTTGTGGCCCTAATACTTTGAAAAATCTTCGGAAATCAGAGGCATAATTCTTGATTTTTTCCTATGTGAAGAAAATGTTAGGATAGGCCTAGGACCATTTTGGTCCCCACATGGCGCAAAAGTTAGGTTTTGGAACTTGGTTAGTGATTGTAGAAGCTAATAAGTTAGTCTTTAGAGCGAAAGATGTTGGGGCCTAAAAAGACTTTACTATTTTGTACATGTTTATCTCACAACGAAAAATGTAACTCAACGAAAATTTGATAGGCAAGAGAAAGAAAGAATACTCAAGTATTACACACATATGTTTTTACTCTCACACAACAAACTAATACAAGAGGAAACACTCACTCTTAGAAACTTTGTTGCTTCTTCTTACTCGTCACTCCTCACACTTCTAACTTATCTCTTTTTCTCACTTTTTCTAACTTAGTTACATTACAACACGCTCACCTATATTTATAGGCAAGCATAACCGACTTACCAAGGCGGTGGAATTGCATTGCCCAGCCACACAATTTGATGGATGGTTACAGAGAGAGAGAGTCGGGAGAGAGGAAGTAGAAAGATTAAATCGAAAAAGCTTAACTCTTTCTAGCTAAATAACAGTAAGCAACAGAATGAACGAAAATAAGGAGAGAGAGAGAGACTGACTGACGTAGTTTCTTTGCGGTTCTAGGGCGCATCACAAATTGAACGGAGGACGAGGTGGTCCGAAGACCAGAAAGGGCATTGGTGGTTGGAGCTCCGAGGAATGGTATGGAAACGAGAGAGGAAGCCATGGCAGTTGAACGCACTGAAACTCTCAGCCCACCGACAACCAAAAACAAGGAGAAGAAAAAGGAGGAAGAGAAGGAAAATATCCCAACCAAAAACAAGGAGAAGAAAAAGGAGGAAGAGAAGGAAAATATGGGATAGAACTTCGCTGCTAAACAGATCAGCAGCAGCTACTGCTTACAACCAATCCCGGCTGAACATGTGTCTAAGTTTTGATCTGTTCAACAGGGATTGGTTGTAAGCAGCTGCTGCTGATTTGTTCAGCAGCCAAGTCCAGTTCGAAAATATGGAGGGAGTGAAATGTACGGCGTGCTTCCGGTATCGTTTTCGTAGCTGCCATGCAATGACTTGACTTGAAGAAGACGTATCAAAAAAATTAAAGAGGGACAGCACACCCGTGGCCCATGCAATGGCTGCAATCCATTTCCACCAACTGACTTCAACGTAACCCAAATCCTTGATTTATTTATTTATTTTTTCTTGAACAAACAATATTATTAAGTTTAATTTAACAATTGAGTTAGTAATAATATAGTTTAAATTCATTTTTTGCTTACAAGAAAAGAAAAATATCATCAGATTGTAATATCAAATGACAAATTCTTGAATTATTTTATTTTCTATTTTCTTTGTTTTTCTTTTGGTCAACTCAGTTTCTTTGTTTGGTGGGTCTTCTTTTGGAGAAGAGATGGATCTCTTCTACTAAGATCACTGGATCAAATGATCTGAACCTTTGAAATTTTATCAAATGGTCAAAAAATATTATAATTTTTAAAATGTCAAAACAGATGGATTGTCAGATAAAACTTCAAAAATCCGAATCACTTGATCCGGTAACCTTGATGGAAGAAATCCGACTCCTTCTTTTGGCCAATGCATTTGGACTCATCTTCTCCGGAACTTTCAATGCGGAGCCTCCGGACCAATTTGATCATGTCCGTTAGATGAATATACTACGGCCGTAATTTAATTTTCTTTTTTAATAATTTTAAAGTGAAAAATTATGTCTCTGTTTTCTGTCTCTCTTGTCTCTCTTCTTTCATAAAAAAGCTATAAGAACCGTTTCGATTTCACATCAAAAAGTCCGTCTCTCTCTTCTCTTTCAACACTGCACGGGCGAGTCTGCCGTCTCCGTGGCTTCCCTTTTACCGGGCTGCTCCTCGAGCCTTCGAGTGGCGATTTTCACAAGACGGCCCAAGCGGAGATCTTCGATCCGAACTATTTTTCTCCTCTTTCTCTTTCTCCCTCCCTGGGTTTATTGGGTTTCACTCGATTACGAAATCTTACAAATTTCTTCTTCCTTCCATCAATCTATTGCTTCGCTTGGCTGTTTGGAAAATTTAATTTCTGGGTTATAAGAGTGTGTACTGGAAATACCAAAAAAAGAATTCAGGGGTTTGGGATGGAGGACGGGGGTAAAGATTGGATTTTTGGGTGTTTAATTTGTTGGAATGATTGATTTTCTGCTAGAAATTAAATATTTGTAGATGAAGAATGTTTTAAAGACGAGTAGGATTTCATATTTAATATATTTTGTGTTTGAATTACAGAGCTTTGCACTTATAAGGAAAATAGTTTGTACACTTTGTAAATATCATCTCTGCAAAAAATAATTAAACTTGAGTCGTTTAGTTAATCTATTGTAGCAAACATATTGACGAAATGATTCGTAATGCTTTTACTAATTTCGTTAATATGTTTTTATAAAGTTTGATAACTAATCGACACTAATTTTAATTAATTTTTTTCGGTGGCTTTTTTAGAATGATTTATGATATCAATGGTTCAGATAATAAACACAACAACAACAACAACAACAAAGCCTTTTCCCACTAAGTGGGGTCGGCTATATGAATCCTAGAACGCTATTGCGCTCGGTTTTGTGTCATGTCCTCCGTTAGATCCAAGTACTCTAAGTCTTTTCTTAGAGTCTCTTCCAAAGTTTTCCTAGGTCTTCCTCTACCCCTTCGGCCCTGAACCTCTGTCCCGTAGTCACATCTTCGAACCGGAGCGTCAGTCGGCCTTCTTTGCACATGTCCAAATCAGCGGAGCCGATTTTCTCTCATCTTTCCTACAATTTCGGCTACTCCTACTTTACCTCGGATATCCTCATTCCCAATCTTATCCTTTCTCGTGTGCCCACACATCCCATAAAGCATCCTCATCTCCGCTACACCCATTTTGTGTACGTGTTGATGCTTCACCGCCCAACATTCTGTGCCATACAACATCGCTGGCCTTATTGCCGTCCTATAAAATTTTCCCTTGAGCTTCAGTGGCCTACGACGGTCACACAGCACGCTGGATGCACTCTTACACTTCATCCATCCAGCTCGTATTCTATGGTTGAGATCTCCATCTAATTCTCCGTTCTCTTGCAAGATAGATCCTAGGTAGCGAAAACGGTCGCTTTTTGTGATCTTCGCTAGATTGGTCCGGTTATTAGTGTGGATAAGTATATAAATGGATAGAGATAGGAAAGCAAACACAAGATGTACGTGGTTCACCCAGATTGGCTACGTCCACGGAATAGAAGAGTTCTCATTAATTGTGAAGGGTTTACACAAGTACATAGGTTCAAGCTCTCCTTTAGTGAGTATAAGTGAATGATTTAGTACAAATGACATTAGGAAATATTGTGGGAGAATGATCTCGTAATCACGAAACTTCTAAGTATCGGAGTGTGGTGTCGTCTTGACTTGCCTTATCTGTCTCATAGGTAGATGTGGCATCTTCTCTGGAAGTACTCTTCCTCCATCCAGGGGTGGTATCTTTAACTGGTGGAGATGCACAAGGTAATGTATCAATTTCACTTGAAGCTTACTTGTAGTTTCAAGCTTGGTCAAGCGCGATACAAACCATGTAGTAGGAGTCCCCCAAGTCGCCGAGCTAGGGGGTCTGCTGAAAGAGGTGACAGACAAGGTAAGCAATCAGAGCTCCGACTGATTGTTCACCTTCTCCCCATCTTGCAGCAGCATGAAGGATAAAGAGAAGAAAAATGAGAAGAGATGATATGAGATACTTTTGCTTTTGAAGAAGTAACTTTCCACATGCTTATTCTTGAACTGAGCTGGAGGGTTTTCTGGTTTCCTCCAGAGTATAAGGCCGACTGAAGAATTTGAGGGTCAAAACAAGTCCATCAAATCTAGAGTACGTTCCACCCTGCTGATATGGGATACTTTTGCTTTTGACAGAGTAATGGATGTATCGGCACGTGTGCTGTTACGCTTGTCTCCACATGCTTCCTTGTATCCTTCGCACTTGCCCTATCTGTTCCTCAAGCAGATACGGAATCTTCCCTGGAAACATAAGATGTTGAAGATGAGTACTCGAGAGCAATGCCAGGTAAGTAATCAGGTAAGGGGTTCCAGGCAGTCAGTTCCTGGCTGGAAGCTTGATTCCAAGTGCTGACTGATTGCTCTCTTTCTCCTTGTCTTGCAGGTAAAAACAAGGCCAAAGGAAAAGACAGGGAAAAAGCATGATATGGGATACTCTTGCTTTTAAACCCTGATGATATGAGATATTCTTGCTCTAGTATAGCTTGTTTGCAGAGGTATTATCGGGGGGAAAGAAAGCTGAATATTTCGAAAGGCTTCGTTGGGAGTGCCCTCTCAGATATGATGAAGGGTTGAGCATTTTTGCAGGTCTGCCTGTCCGTTGGGGGATGGAGGTCGACATATATAGGAGTCTCCCTAACAAACAAGTAGTAATGCTATTCATTTACCCTGCTTGGTCATAGCACGGTAGTGGGAGCTGCCAGTTTCACATGTTTTAACTCTGTCAGAGCACTTTGAAAAAGTGGTCCTGTGGTATCTGGCTCTCGAGATTCGGAGAACGATGTCTCTTCGATTTTTGAGAAAGCAATCATGTTGGGGGGTCTGGCTCTCGAGATTCGGAGAGCAGTGTTCTCTTCGATTTTTGAGGAAGTAATCATGTTGGGAGTCTGGCTCTCGAGATTCGGAGGGCGGTGCCTCTTCGATTTTGGAGCAAGCAATCATGTTGGGAGTGTTGTCTCGAATGTGAGTAAAGGTTGGGCATGTTTGCTAGTCTACCTTGCCCCGAAGCACAAAAGGTTGACACACAGGGACTTTCCAATTATCTAGCAATGGTACTGTTCCTTTACCCTCTCTTCGCTTTTGAGAAAGTAGTCATGTTAGGAGTCTGGCTTTCGAGATTCGGAGGACGGTGCCTCTTCGATTTTGGAGCAAGCAATCTTGTTGGGAGTGTTTTCTCGAATGTGAGTAAAGGTTGGGCATGTTTGCTAGTCTACCTTGCCACGAAGCACAGAGGTTGACACACAGGAACTTTCCAATTATCCAGCAATGGTACTGTTCCTTTACCCTTGTGGGTAATAATATGGTAGCTAGACCTTCAAAATTTATGTGTCTAAACTTTGTTAGTGCTGTTTCTTTGCTATTCTTTTACCTTTCTTGGTCAGAGCGATGTAGTGGGAGCTGCAAGCTTCACGTGCTCAACTTTGGCAGAGAACTTTGGCAAAGTTATCTGTGGTACCCATGAGCTATTGTTGCGTGTGGGAAGTGGGTGATTGAACAGTAAGATTCATGTGCTTTCTACTTCACCAGAAGTCTTCGACAGAATGCCCATAATTTCTGCAAAGCTGAGTGTGCGTGTGACAGGTGCTGACAAGGCTAGAATAGTAGGTGCCTCTTCGATTTCTGAGATCGGCCCTCGTGGTCTCTGGGGAGCCCAGCTTTTGAGAAAGCGAGCGCCTCTTCGATTTCTGAGATCGGCCTTCGTGGTCTTTGAGCAGCCCAACTTTTGAGAAAGCAAACGCCTCTTCGATTTCTGAGATCAACCCTCGTGATCTCTAAGCAGCCCAGCTTTTGAGAAAGCAAACGCCTCTTCAATTTCTGAGCAGGCGCCTCTTCGATTTCTGAAGCTCCGTCGAATGCAGATTTTTATAGGGGCTGGCATTAAGTTCCAAAGCACACTTGAATCTCCACCAGTAGAAGCTTCATTCTTGCACTTCTAAGATCTTGATTTGTCCGACCTCTTCTCTCTTCAACACCTTTGAAAATGTCTGGCCCCTCCGACCGTCGTTTTGACTTGAACCTTGTTGAAGAGGCAGCCCCGCCTTCTCCAGACAACATATGGCGCCCATCCTTCGTCTCCCCTACTGGTTCTCTTACCGTTGGGGATTCCGTGATGAAGAATGATATGACCGCTGCGGTGGTGGCCAGGAACCTTCTCACTCCCAAAGATAACAGACTACTTTCCAAACGGTCTGATGAGTTAGCTGTTAAGGATTCGCTGGCTCTCAGTGTTCAGTGTGCAGGTTCTGTGTCTAATATGGCCCAACGCCTATTTGCTCGAACCCGCCAAGTTGAATCATTGGCGGCTGAAGTGATGAGTCTCAAACAGGAGATTAGAGGGCTCAAGCATGAGAATAAACAGTTGCACCGGCTCGCACATGACTATGCTACAAACATGAAGAGGAAGCTTGACCAGATGAAGGAAACTGATGGTCAGGTTTTACTTGATCATCAGAGATTTGTGGGTTTGTTCCAAAGGCATTTTATTGCCTTCATCTTCTGGGGCTGTACCGCGTAATGAAGCTCCGAATGATCAACCTCTGATGCCTCCTCCTTCTAGAGTTCTGTCCAGTACTGAGGCTCCAAATGATCCCCCTCCGGTGCCTTCTCTTTCTGGGGCTCTACTGACTGCTGAGACTTCTCCTAAGCAACCTTTGTGAAGGCTCCCTCTTGTGTGTTTATTTTGACTCATGTATATGTACATATTTGTAGCTTATCGGGGATATCAATAAATAAGCTTTCCTTCATTTCAACGTATTGTTAAATACACCAAAGCCTTCTTCGCTAAGTTCTTTGAATTTTCTTTTGTTGAAGCTTGTATGTTGAAGCTTTCTGAGCGGAGCATGTAGGTTGGGGTAGTGTTCCCTTAACTTCCTGAGTGAGGAAAACTTCTCGGTTGGAGACTTGGAAAATCCAAGTCACTGAGTGGGATCGGCTATATGAATCTTAGAACGCCATTGTGCTCGATCCTGAGTCATGTCCTTCGTTAGATCCAAGTACTCTAAGTCTTTTCTTAGAGTCTCTTCCAAAGTTTTCCTAGGTCTTCCTCTACCCCTTCGGCCCTGAACCTCTGTCCCATAGTCGCATCTTCTAATCGGAGCGTCAGTAGGCCTTCTTTGCACATGTCCAAACCACCGTAACCGATTTTCTCTCATCTTTCCTTCAATTTCGGCTACTCCTACTTTTACCCCGGATATCCTCATTCCTAATCTTTATCCTTTCTCGTGTGCCCACACATCCAACGAAGCATCCTCATCTCCGCTACACCCATTTTGTGTACGTGTTGATGTTTCACCGCCCAACATTCTGTGCCATACAGCATCGCCGGCCTTATTGCCGTCCTATAAAATTTTCCCTTGAGTTTCAGTGGCATACGGCGGTCACACAACACGCCGGATGCACTCTTCCACTTCATCCATCCAGCTTGTATTCTGTGGTTGAGATCTCCATCTAATTCTCCGTTCTTTTGCAAGATAGATCCTAGGTAACGAAAACGGTCGCTCTTTGGTATTTCTTGATCTCCGATCCTCACCCCTAACTCGTTTTGGCCTCCATTTGCACTGAACTTGCACTCCATATATTCTGTCTTTGATCGGCTTAGGCGAAGACCTTTAGATTCCAACACTTCTCTCCAAAGGTTAAGCTTTGCATTTACCCCTTCCTGAGTTTCATCTATCAACACTATATCGTCTGCGAAAAGCATACACCAAGGAATATCATATTGAATATGTCCTGTTAACTCATCCATTACCAACGCAAAAAGGTAAGGACTTAAGGATGAGCCTTGATGTAATCCTACAGTTATGGGAAAGCTTTCGGTTTATCCTTCATGAGTTCTTACGGTAGTATTTGCTCCTTCATACATATCCTTTATAGCTTGGATATATGCTACTCGTACTCCTTTCTTCTCTAAAATCCTCCAAAGAATGTCTCTTGGGACCCTATCATACGCTTTTTCCAAATCTATAAAGACCATTGTGTAAATCCTTTTTCCCATCTCTATATCTTTCCATCAATCTTCGTAAGAGATAGATTGCCTCCATGGTTGAGCACCCTGGCATGAACCCGAATTGGTTGTCCGAAACCCGTGTCTCTTGCCTCAATCTATGCTCAATGACTCTCTCCCAGAGCTTCATTGTATGACTCATTAGCTTAATACCCCTATAGTTCATGCAATTTTGTACGTCGCCCTTATTCTTGTAGATAAGCACCAAAGTGCTCGTTCGCCACTCATTTGGCATCTTCTTCGTTTTCAAAATCCTATTGAAAAGGTCAGTGAGCCATGTTATACCTGTCTCTCCCAAAAGTTTCCACACTTCGATTGGTATATTGTCTGGGCCTATTGCTTTTTTATGCTTCATCTTCTTCAAAGCTACAACCACTTCTTCCTTCCGTATTCGACGATAAAAAGAGTAGTTTCTACACTCTTCTGAGTTACTCAACTCCCCTAAAGAAGCACTCATTTCATGTCCTTCATTGAAAAGATTATGAAAATAACCTCTCCATCTGTCTTTAACCGCGTTCTCTGTAACAAGAACCTTTCCATCCTCATCCTTGATGCACCTCACTTGGTTTAGGTCCCTTGTCTTCTTTTCCCTTGCTCTAGATAGTTTATAGATATCCAACTCTCCTTCTTTGGTATCTAGTCGTTTATACATATCGTCGTAAGCCGCTAACTTAGCTTCTCTGACAGCTTTCTTCGCCTCTTGCTTCGCTTTTTCTATACCTTTCACCATTTTCATCGGTCCTCTCCTTGTATAAGGCTTTACAACATTCCTTCTTAGCCTTCACCTTTGTTTGTACCTCCTCATTCCACCACCAAGATTCCTTTTGGTGTGGGGCAAAGCCCTTGGACTCTCCTAATACCTCTTTTTGCTACTTTTCGGATACAACTAGCCATGGAATCCCACATTTGGCTAGCTTCCCCCTCTCTATCCCACACACATTGGGTGATTACCTTCTCTTTGAAAATGACTTGTTTTTTCTTCTTTTAGATTCCACCATCTAGTCCTTGGGCACTTCCAAGTCTTGTTCTTTTGTCTTACTCTTTTGATATGTACATCCATCACCAACAAGCGATGTTGATTAGCCACGCTCTCTCCTGGTATAACTTTGCAATCCTTACAAGTTATACGATCCCCTTTCCTCATTAGAAGAAAATCTATTTGTGTTTTTGACGACCCACTCTTTGTAGGTGATCACATGTTCTTCCCTCTTCTTAAAGAAGGTGTTTGGCTAAGAAGAGATCATATGCCATTGCAAAAATCCAAGATAGCTTCCCCATCCTCGTTTCTCTCCCCAAAACCATGGCCACCATGAAAACCTCCATAGTTGCCTGTCTCCCTGCCCACGTGTCCATTTAAATCTCCTCCTATAAATAACTTCTCCGTCTGAGCAATTCCTTGCACCAAGTCTCCAAGATCTTCCCAAAATTTCTCCTTCGAACTCGTATCCAACCCTACTTGAGGTGCGTACGCACTAATCACATTGATAAGTTCTTGTCCTATTACAATCTTGATTGCCATGATTCTATCTCCTACCCTCTTGACATCTACAACATCTTGTACCAAGGTCTTGTCCACGATGATGCCAACACCGTTTCTCGTTCTATTTGTGCCCGAATACCAAAGTTTAAACCCTGAGTTTTCTAGATCCTTTGCCTTACTACCAACCCACTTAGTTTCTTGTAGGCACATAATATTTATCCTTCTCCTCACCATAACTTCCACTACTTCCATAGATTTTCCCGTTAAGGTTCCTATATTCCACGTTCCTAAACGCATTTTGCTCTCTTGAACTCTACCCTTCTGTCCTAGCTTCTTCACCCTCCCCCGTCTAATAGGATCAAAGTACTTCTTTTGTGTGTCCCGGGTAAAGTTGATAGGAGCATATGCTCCCAAACAACTTTGAGTGGAGTCGTTCGAAAAGAAGTTTTTATGGCCCCCTTGCTCATTTAACACTGCATCCGGGTGCCGATGGAGATACAGCGACCCTTGCTCACTTATCACTGTGCTCGGGCCACACAGCGCGCCACTTACGGGTGACGCCCTAGCTTTAGCGCGATTTTGTTCTGGATTCATTTTCATAAGGATTCGACGTGATCATGGAGTGCCGGCTGTCGACTACCTGATGCCCTCCCCCTCCTCCTTTATCCGGGCTTGGGACCGGCCATGTAAGACATAGGCGGAGTTCAGATAATAAACACAATGTTCTAAAAATCGATAAAGAACAGTTTTGAATAGGAACTCCTACTCATCTTTTGAGTAGCAAAATATTATTCATTATGACCAAAATGAAGTTAATTTGGAAATAAGGACAATTAATTCATGAATTTGGAATAAGGTATTAATTAAGAAACATCCCTTTTTTTGTTTTGTTAAAATGAATAATGAATTCAATAGTAACAAAAACAAAGCTATACTGCCTGCTATTTCCACAGGCCTGTATCTTCTTTGACACTACCAAAACATTCACCACAAGGAAAACTGTGGAAATACAGTGCAGAATATGTCAATCGCTACAGAAATTCCGTTACAGCTTTTGCCGGAGCGCTTGTTTTCAGTATCATTTCGTCATACTCGTCTTCAGGGTTTGATAACGCAACAATGGCTCCTCCCCCGCCTATTGAAGCTTCACCCTCATGTATAACAACGGTTCTGATAACTATGTTGAGATCGAATGTCTGGTTATATGAGAAAAACCCTATGGAGCCTGAGTAGATTCCTCGTGGACTACATTCGATTGAGTCAAGAAGTTCCATTGATCTCAGTTTTGGTGCACCTGTCATTGAACCCCCTGGAAATGCCGCTCTCACGCAGTCAACTGCACTTACATCTGACCGCTTTTTCCCGCGAATTGTGCTCACCATAGTATGAACAGTAGCATATGATTCCACGTCCATCAGATGGGGCACATGAACAGAGCCGGGCTCACATACACGCCCAAGGTCATTTCTCAGAAGATCAACGATCATCAGATTTTCAGCTTGATCCTTTTCACTGTAGAGGGGAGTGAGAGAGATTAATTCATAGAAAGGGAGAGAAAACCACCTCATTTCTTTCTTGCCAAGTAACTGCATACACACTAGCTGGATATCGAACCCTAGATCTTATATCGCCCACCCTCATTCTTAAAAGGCAGGATGTGTCAGTACTCCCAGATGCTAATGAACTACTATTCAGTCCCTGTTGTTTTGAGTTGATTTTAAATCTCAAACATGAGAAAACACATCCCGGAGCAGAACAACAACAACCAACAACCAACAACCAAGCAGTATCCCACTAAGTGGGGTCGGCTGAGAATAGCTCTTCACTGTAGAGGGGGGAGAGAGATACTAATTCATAAAAAGGGAGAGAAAACCACTTCATTTCTTTCTTGCCAAGTAACTGCATACACACTAGCTGGATATTGAACCCTGGATCTTATATCGCTCACCCTAATTCTTAAAGAGGGAGGATGTTCATCACTCCCAGATGCTAATGAAGTACTATTTAGTCACTATTTGTTTCGAGTTGATTTTAGACCTCAAACATGAGAAAACGCATCCCAGACCGGAAAGTGAGAATAAATCTAGCTAATAGTAGAAAACTAAGATTCTGATAGCAGCTCTTTCACCGGACCAAATTGTCATCTATTTGACAATTATTATATAAATGGGAAAAAGATATGTGATAATGGTTCAATCCTGTTAAAAAAAAAGAGATTTTACCTGTATTGCAGTTGTAATTTGCGTTGCTCATCTTCTTCTAGTGTTGCACCACGAGCTATAGTACCCTTAATGGGCTTTGCTTCTAATATACCATTTCTATCCAACCGTAGAAACCGCTCTGGGGAAGAACAGCAGACACATAGGTTTTCCTTTGAAAAATTAAGCCAGGCAGCATATGGTGCTGGATTTTTTCTCGAAGGTGAAGGTAAAGTCCTAATGAATCCATTTCCCCAATTCTTTTCCTCATCTGAGTTGTTAGACATAATTCATAGCTTTCACCGTCTTTAATGTATTCCAGACACTTATCGACATCTTTTATATACTCTTCTCTTGATTTATCAACTATAAAACTTCCTTGACATTCCGAAGATCGAAGAGCCTGCAAAGCTGGCTCACCTCCCTCCTCTGTAGCAGAAGCTTTTAAGCTGAGAAGCTTCTGTTCTGTATTGTCCAACCATGGCGTCGTACTTGTGCATTCTTCCTTAATAGACAGTATATAAACATCATCGGAGCAGTGATCAATAACTACAAGATTATCGGCAAAGAAAAAGCAAGCATCTGGAGTCTTGGATTTGTGGCAGTTAGATGATGCACCACATTCAACTTTAAGGCTATATCTGTATTACATGAAATCAATGAATATTAGCCAGCTAACTTAAACAACCATGGAAATTAATATTTTTGGATAGCAACAGAAATTCAATCCAAGCATAAATATCTGAAAAGCAGAAACCAGAGGAAAGGGATGATGACTTCTTATAACTGAACGGCAATCAGAAATCGTGATAGCTAAAAAGTCGAGATGTCTAAGATTCAATCGATTTCTTCAGAGCCAACTGCCCATATTGGATTAAGCCAAAAAGCAGCCAAAACATGGGAAAGCCGATAAAAACATCGGTAGAGTTTGCAAGAGACCAAGTTCTGAGAAACTAGTTTGCCACAAACTAAAACAAACAAACAAAATTGGACTCATGCACCGAGTAGGGGATAAGAAAAAAAAGATGGTCCGAGAACATTACATTCAAATAAACTTAACTGCATACCCCATGTAGCCAATATATCCACCATGAAAATCAAATGGAAGGCCTTCATAATCCTTTTCATCGTAACAAAATGACAGGAGCTCCTGAAACAAGGACCAAGTAGCCGATATTACTTCACACTGGGAGACTGAACACGGTAACAAAATAAAAGACAAACATATTCCAAATGGACAGAAGAAAGCGCATTCTGACATAAGTTTATGATCATTGAGATGATCTGTATTTAGTACAACACCGGAAAAATTATAGAATCCCAATAATTCAAGAACAGAAACAAAACAAGATAAGGGCAACTTCAGAAGCCATTTCCAACTTAAAACCTAAAATTTTTAACCAAGAAAATTTAGGTTTTAACTCAAAAACAATTTTTCTCCTCCAACATTGTTAAATTTTTAGCCCGAGATTATTAAAGAATGAATTTAGGATAATTTTTTTCTTAAAGTAACTTTAAAAAAAAATAAAAAATTATGTAGACTATCCTAATTTAATATTATGAACATTTTAACCTAAAAATATTTAGATTCCAATAAATATTGAAAAATCACTAAACTGGCACCATGCAACTCGTGGAACACTACGAAAGAATATGAAACACATAAAATATATTTTTTTAATTACTTTAGCCATTGGATTTAAATTTGGACCGTTATATATATATATATTTTTTTTTACCGTTGATTTGATCAAATGAGATCTTAGCCGTTTGATTCAATGAATTTATAAAAAAAAAAAAGTCGTACCCAGTGCACAAGGCTCCCGCTTTACGCAGGGTCTGGGAGAGGTGAATGTCGGCTAGCCTTACCCCCATTTATGGAGAGGCTGCTCCCAAAATGAATTTATAAATATAAAACTAAAAAAAAAAAAATACACATATATGATAGGTCAGCCCCACTAACCCAGGGGAATCCTAGGCTAAATTTGCCCCAGAAATGAGTTTTGGGTTTGGAGCAAGTTGGAGTAAGTTTAGAACCTAAAATTCGAGTTTTATTCCAAGGGTTGGAGTAGGTCTAAGACTACACCACAAGCTGTAATTTCACTTAATACCTTTTTCAAAAAATCAAGAAAACCTTCGTCAAAAATCTGCTGCTGGTAGAGCCTTGAGCATCCTCAACAGATAGAAAACCACTTCCCTTCAATGTCTTATCACTGAAAAATGCAGTATATATCACCATAACATTAAAATACTCATAAGAGCTTTATTCTAGAAAAGAACTTCAAATAATTCCACAAGAATTCAATACGATTATTGAAGAACGAAGGTAGTTAGCTGATGGTACTTCCATCTCATGTTATAACACGATACCACCATCAGTGAACAAAAATCCATACAAAACTAAAAGTTCGAATTTTCCCGAATCAATGCTCATTGCTCAGTCATACCTTCTATCAGATAATTTAAAGGTCAATTGCTTCCAAAGAGTTCCACCTTTTCCTCCCATAAATGAAAAGCGTGCTCTTCTCTGAACATTCAAGAAAACAGAAACAGAGACAATGTGTAAGAAATAATGGTTTTACGACCGCTACTCAAAATAAAACTAAGGTATTATGATAATGTCAAATGCTTCAACTAAACCTTCACAGAGCACCATGAGAGAAGGAAAACTCATGCTAAGATATGTAACTAGTAAGCAGGAGCAAGTGAAATTAACCTACCAAACTAACCTTTTCTATCGATGAACTGTCCAACCAAAAGGTGTTTTCAGCTTTATGATGTCCAAACAGTTCGCAGAAAATATTTTTTGCTCCACCAACTTTACCAGCCAAGTGCTTAAATTTCTTCCATTTCAACTTCAGATATTTAACACCAGCGCTTGGATGCAAAAGGCTTACCATATCGACCATACCAGAACAACTTGCGTTACTTTCACTGTTCTGTAATAAGCTACTTCTAGAAGCCTTGCTATATAGCTGACCATCTGCATTATTTACTAATTGCTGATATCCAGGAACTTCTGTGAACAGTCGCTGGGGCATCTGCAAGCATGCTAAAAGAATTTTACTGGTCAGTTGAAGTTAGAGGCAGTTTATATTTTAATAAATAATAATAATAATAATTATAAAGCATATAACAATACAAACAAATGAAATTAGTATAGCTGGGGTTCTAGACATCTGTGGGATCCTTCAAATGAACATAATGTTCAGGTTTGTCAAAAAGGAATTTGGATCGAAATAACATTCGTAACAAAACACCTGAAAGTTTCCGAAATCATCCTCAGAAAAGCATAAAAAAAATTGGCATGCATATGAAAGTATGCAATGTCTTCATGTGACTTAGCATGTGCACACGCAGATATGCGTGCGAGCAAGTGAGATTTCGGCAGAGAGAAATATTGACAAAGGACGTAAAGCAAAGAAGAGGATAAAAGGTATTCCGGGAAAAGAGCTCTAGTTTACCTGTACAATCAAAATTTCGCTTCTTGATGAATGACGGTCTTGAATTCAGCCAATACTCCTCAGTGATCTCTCTAAAATTCTTGAATATCTGTCTTCCATGACAGGTTGCAATACTCTCTGGATGGAACTGTGAGGGTCACAGATAAAGTCAAGAGAATATTGCACGTAAAAGCAGAGCCCAAATAATCACAAATACAATGAACATGCAACACACCTGCACACCATAATGAGGTCTGGTAGAATGCATAATGCCCATGAGAACCTTTACACTCTGCATTTTTCCAGAATGACTGAAAGGCGAATAACTTCCATTTTTCAGTTTCTCTGAAAAATATCCCACAGCATATTCCAAGGAAAAATCAGACTTCTGGGTTTCGATGAAAGAAAGTGCATCCATGGAGGAAGTCCATGCTATAGGAATGAGTTCATCTGGAAGTGATTCAGCATCTATGACAAGTGAATGGTACCGAACCACCTGAAATTAGGTAAAGTCGTATGGCTAAGCATAGTTAAGAATAAGTTTCACAATCACCCCAAAAGGTCCATGGTAGCAAAAGCATGCACTTTCAGCAAAACCACATTAAAACATTAGAGTTTCAAGAAACCATCTTTAACCTTCTCCAGTTTTTAAGTTTTTTTTCTTTTTACCTGAGGAATGACTAACTTTGGTTCTGCAAAAAAACAAAGATGGGATTTTGAAAGTACGTGACCTTAGTTAAATATTAATCATAACTCAAATACATGATTGCAATGTGTCTCGAGTTCAAATGAAAACTTAATCTTAGTGGACTTTAAAAAAGTGAATGTAAATGCACAAATTAATTACTAATCACATATTCTTCCCAGAGAAAATGGTTTTCAACATCATAGTATACAGAACAGAATCATCTGGATTGAACATTAGAATTCTCAACAATTACCTATTGTAAACTGGAAATACTAAATTATTTTTTCCTATGATGATTAACTTTTAGCAAGATATGAAAATTCAAAAAAACAGACCGATGTCATAGATCCAGCTAGAAATATATGACATCTTTCAAGGATACCCCTACCATGGTACAGCTAACTTAATTACAATATACAAGATTGCAAAAAACCAATGATCTTTCAGTTGAAGAAAAGACTGACCTTGAATCCTGAATCGTGACCAGAAGGGATGTCATTGAAAAGTCTGCACCCATTGTGCTCAACTTCGCTGTATTGGGGAAAAGGAAAGAGTAGAAAGTTAAAAAAATGGAACCTACGGGAAACAACAAAATAACTATACCAAAGCTTCAATCCAAAATTTCAATTATAAAGCATATTTCCAATTAGTCATGACTAGAGATATATAAGAAAAAATATGCACCAATTAGAACCAAAATCTTGTAACAAAACATAACAATACCTCAACCGCCCATGGACTGGTTCAGGTGCGTGGACAACTTTAGCACCATGCACATAACCTAAAGCCTGTTCAACCAAAGGCATCCGGGAGAATCAACATCACTTGGCATGTATATATGATTTTAGGAGTAGCATTTAGAGTCACATAGTTGATTTATTGTACTCTTCCCTAAACGATCTTATTTTGTATGTAACTATTTCAAATTCTAGTTAAGCATCTAGGTACGTTAGAAGAAGAAAAAACAGAAGTATAAAACCAAAATACCTGATGCCCAAGACAAACACCCAAAATAGGGATATCCCAGCAGTCAAGCAGCACCTGAAGACATATGCCTGACAGATTCAAATAGTTTCTAAATGAAATAATCATAAAAAGCTTTAGCATTTAAACCAGACGGAAAAAAAGGGCTGCAAAAGAACTCTAAGAGAAAGAAAAACCAACAGAGGAGAAACATATATGCGCGGTGCATATAGATAATCTAAAACATGTTGAAAACTATTGAGAGTGATGCCTATCCTGTTAGTCTGCAGCATAAGGGCTATCAACATAAAGCCTTCATCTTTCTATTTTTGGCCCAGATGGAATTCAGAAGTAACAAATAACACAAAAAGAAGATAGTTGCTGAACTATTGCATATGTGCTTCTAGTCACTATTCTACCATACATCGTGGAAATAAGCACGGAAGTAGCATGGCAAAGATAAATTCACTTCTGAAAAACTCACCTATGTCTGCTGGACATGTTGGCGAACCAGGTCCAGGTGATATAACAACATTGTCAAAAGCATTTTCTTCATACAAGTAATAGTGGATGTCTTTCCATGTCAATTCATCATTCCGCACGACCACAGGAGGCACTGGCGCAATTAGAAGCCAAAATGTCAGAGCCAACTTTTGGTAGGCTAACATCAAATATAGTTTTTATTTTCCTTCACCAGGTTATAGATGATGCAAACATTTTGCCCTTGGAAATAATAAACGGACACAGGACATACATAATTCGATACATATAGACAGGGGAAGGGGTTAGAGTAAAACGTACCCCCATTAATGACAGACAGCTCCTGGTATATATTGTAAGTGTAGCTGTCATAGTTGTCAATCAACAATGTCCTCACAAATTCCAGCTTCCACCCAGGTTCCTTGAGGTTATTCTTTCCCACATATGATCCATTTAAGCACCGAGGCATCAAATTGGTAGACATCACGAGCTTTCCAGCATCATGATTAGATACTTGAGTGTTATCCTTCTTATTGAACTTATCAACCTTCACAAAAGGTTCAGACTCTAGCATATTCTTGTTTGTATATGGCAACCCCTCAACCAAAGGGTATCTGAGCTCGGAAGATGACGAACACAAAGTGAAATTCATTTTCGTACGACTGAGAATGTTAAAATCATACACAAGGGCCCAAACCAGAGCTTCTGCAACACAAAAATGCACAGAGTTAAATATTCTTTTTCCTGTACTCCAAGATTATTCTTTTTCCAGCATCCCCAATTAAATGGGTTGATAACAACAATTTACTCACCACTCTTAACTACTCCACTGAATGCACAAAAGTTATAGTTAATACACCTTGACATGTTAACAACAGTTTACTACACTATAACACCTGGAATGCCATTTCTACCACCGCACTAACTGTCGTTGGATGAATGTAATTTTTAATCATATGCTAATGAATCTTGAAATTTAAACTCATCCAGCGACAATTGATGCAATGGCAATGCTAAAAAAGATGCTATCTTTAGTGGTGACTGCTTAAAAAGATGCTATCTTTAGTGGTGACTGCTAAACCAATGAACCAAATGGGTTCACTTCCTTCACAAAATACAAATGTGGAATAATGAAATATGTGACAAATATGTAGCTGACATGACATGTGAAATTAATCGTAGGAAGCTAAAGAAAATTACTTTCAAGTCAATAATCCCATGCTTAAACTACTATCATTTATTCTGCCGGCCAAAAAAATCCCAGAAAGCAAAACATAAACTTGCAGAGACAGGAAAAACAAAAGAAGAAGAAGATGCGAAGATAACCTCAGATAGTCAGATGAGAAGATAACCTCAGATAGTTAGGGACCTGCAAATACTTGTGAAGTTTGTTGGGTTATGTATTTATAACTTAAGAGAGAGAGAGAGAGAGAGAGAGAGAGAGAGAGAGAGAGAGAGAGAGAGAGAGAAATCGTTGGGTTGGTGATGAAATGGGCCCCGGTTGGTGGTGGTGTAGATTGGACGAGACAGAGAGAGAGGAAGAAGAAGAAGAAACGGAAAGGAGGGATGTGGGACCCACGAGCACAAACTCGATACGGACAGAGAAAAGGGAGGCGGAAGGATCACGATTCATATTGTGGAGGGGAAATCCTGGGCCGCATGTTGCGGCTTGCTTGGCTGCGACTTGGTCCTCTCCTTCCTTCGAGTTCAAGACTTCCAAAGCCGAAGGGTGGGCGGGCGCAGAGCACCGTTTTACTATTTTGTTTGGTTTATGTTTATCAGGAGGCTATACCTTTTTATTTTATTATTATTAATATTTTTTATGACAGGGATTGGACTGGCAGTCTGGCACTTGCAAATATATTTGAAAATTTTAACAAAAAATTTCTGATAATGTTTATTTTAATGAAAAATTATATTTTTATATTAAAAAATTAATTATGATATTATTTACTTTACCTTTTATTTTGTTCTTATGAACATAATATGTAAATATCTAATTAGATCTGGTTGCCTAATAATTCAACGGTCTGTTTTATAAACGAGACTTATAAAAGGTGTACTCTAGTTCTTGGTTATTATAATTTCGATTTTTACTAGATATACAACTAGAACTAGTGCAGATGATCCAAACACCATTTTCCATGGCCGATCCCTCCGCATGGTCGACTTCGTCAAATGTTAAGCGCTTTAGCATTTGTCAATTGCAACCTAAACAACGTGCTTTACTATGCGTGGGGAAGTGCCTGGCAAGCTTCATAATGTTAACGTTGATGATCAAGCAATTCACTATTGAAATTTGGTTGCGCGCTTGTCTAGTGTGAAACATATGGCGACGGTATATACTCTTCTTTTTCTTTCTCTCTATCGTTTAGTCAATTCCGTCATAACATTATTTGTGTTAACGTTAACCAGTTAGTAAATAAATAAGATGCTAACGACAGTTAGTGTTTTATCTCCTCAGATAAAGAGCACCTGCAAAGGTGTATGCAACATTGCTCCAACAATCACTGCGTCTTCAAGTATCTTTCCCCTCTTCCATAATTGCTGCAATAGTGCTTCTGCAACATCAAAGCTCCTAGCCTTCATATATGTACAATATATCGAAGTGGTTGTATTGAAATAAGTCTATGATCATTATATCATGGAAGGGATTGCTCCGACAGTGCTTCTGCATACATAATTTGTATACAAAACCTTACAAATGGCAAATTTTGTAAATTTGACATCAAAATTTGGGCTATATTTAGTTACATGGATTGTCTTTAGGAAGCCAAATCCCAATATGAAATTATTAGCCATGTGCAATCTACCCAAGAAAAACAAAATTGAACAAAAGTACATCATATTATAGTTATTGCGTTATGTGAAACTCTATAAGACTGACTTGGATTTTAGTTTCAATCATGTCTTGTCTCAATCCTGATATTGCTAAAAATGTAAGAAATTGATATATATGTTTTTCTTTGATTAAAATTTTCCCCTAACAAAAACGCATAAAATTAAAACTAAGAAAAGATAATTGTTCATACAAATGGGGAGAAAAGCTTCAAGCTTTGTAAATTTGGCAATAGTTAGGTGAATGAAATGAATTAGACCATCTCTAAGGGAGATGTTAAATTTTGACAGCTTATGTGGCACTTTGACATCTTTTAAAGTATTGTTCTCCAACCAATATATCAAATTAAATTATTATTTTATTATTTTATAAAATAAATTATTAAACTAATTAAAATGTAATAAAGGACATTTAAAGTTTAATCAGTAATCTGTTCACCTTCTTTAATTGAAAAGAAGAAGAAAAGTAGGATAATTTCATTGGTCAACTCAACATTAATTATAATAAATTATTAAACTAATTAAAAATTAATAAAATACATTTAATAATTAATAAAAAAAACATTTGAATCTGCTATCAAATTTGACAGCAACCTCTTTTGCTGCCAATCCATGTCATCGCCACATAAGATTTGGCATTTCAGTTGGAGAATATTAGTGTGGTTTTTTTTTTACTGTTATAGTTGATGTGTATATTTTGGCATCTCCTTTGGAGATGCTCTTAGGCTTCAAATGAAAACAAAATCTGTAATAAATTTTACAATCTTCTTCAATTGGAGTTTTCTTCAAACTGTATGAACCATTTATGCCATTCCATTACTAGTCATGAGATTCTCTAAGTTATGAATGAAATTTGTAAATATCTAATCAGATTTACTTGACTAATAATTCAATGGTAGGTTTAGAAAACGTGATCTATAATAGGTGTACTCTAGTCCTTGGTTTAGTCTCATAAGTGAAATTTTCATAACATTTCGCAAAATGGCAAAAAATGTTCAAGCAAGCATCAATATGGTAATTTTGTTTTCTTATTGGATATACAACTAATGTCGATGATAGTTGTTTGCTACCTCAACTGTGCGTTACACTATGCTTGGGGAAGTGCCCTGGTCAGTGTCAAGTTAATGTGAATGATCATGCAATTCACTACTACAAAATTGCTTGCTTGCTTTAGTAATGTTCCAAATATGCCAACAATATATACCTTCATTCTCTCTCTCTCTCTCTCTCTCTCTCTCTCTCTCTCTCTCTCTCTCTCTCTCTCTCTCTCTCTCTCTCAGTATTGTGTTAGCATCAACAAGTTAGTAAATAAATAAAATGCTAACCATACGTAAATTTTTATCTCCTTAGATGAAGAGAAACTGCAAAGGTGTATGGAAACACTGCTCGAACAATCACTGTGCCATATCTCTTCCATGATTGCTTCAACAAATGCTTCGATCGGTAACATCAAAGCTCGTATCCCTGTATATATGTTTGAGCTTGAAATCTCAAATTAGGGTAAGAAAGAGTAAGCCTAGTAAGAAGACTGCAAATTTCAGCCCAATAATGAAATTTGCTGACTAGTGGTGCAGGGCTCGGCTTAATGGTAAAATACTGATGGCTCGACTGAGTCCTAGGAAATCTGAGATTGTTTAAGAATTAGGATTAGATTGTGATTCGGTATAGCCCAACAAAGTAGGTTTGTTGAGGAATCAAGATGGTTTCTTTTTAAGTAAAACTAATGAAAAGGGCTTGAAAACTTTGAGTTTTAATGATAAGGACAAAATAGAGGGTAAAGTGAATAGTACCAGAATTGACTTTTTAGTGTAAAAATGTGGTTTTTCGTTAAAATGAACAGTACGGGTGCTTTTCGTTAAAGTTCCCTTCTTTTTATGAAATCTGATTAAGTTGTTTAAGGATAAAAAAATCAAGGTTGTATAAAGAACGAATCGGTCGCATAAAGAGACTAAACTAAGAGTCTTAGTTCAGAATGTTTATCATTCCATGTAACATAGAAACCTCCATACGGGTCAAGTTCGGTTAGGGTTTGGGTCAGGATCGGAGAATGGTAATATCATCACTGTTTCTTATACAACTTGAATTTGTTATTATCAAACTAAACATGGTAAATACCAAAAATATATATGTGATAATATTTGGGAATTTTTTATATATTCATTAATCTCCAAAGTGGAGTATATATAGGAGTTACAATTGGTATTACATATGCATTTCGTCAATGTGAGACAACTGATTACTATTTACACTTTAACTAATATATAACTCACAACACTCCCCCTTAAGTTGGTGCAAAGATGTCACGCATGCCCAACTTGTCAAGCGAGTTGGAAAACACACTATTAGACACAGTCTTAGTAAGTACATTAGCGAGTTGATCTTCAGATCCCACAAATGGAAACATAATAATTCCAGCATCTAATTTTTCGTTGATGAAATGTCGATCAATCTCCACATGTTTTGTTCAATCATGTTACATTGGATTATGAGCAATCTCAATAGCAACCTTGTTATCATAGGGGAGTTTCATAGCACCCTTGGGTTTAAATCCAAGATATATCAACAATTTTTTCAACCACAACAACTCACATACACCATGAAACATACCACGAAACTCAGCTTCAGCACTTGACCTAGCCACCACTTTTTGTTTCTTGCTTCTCCAAGTAACTAGATTACCACCCACAAACGTAAAGTATACAGATGTAGATCGCTGATTAGTGATAGAACCTGCCCAATCTGCATCTGTATACCCTTCGACATTCAACTAACCATTCTTGGAGAAAACCAAGCCTCTGCCAGAAGCCATCTTCAAGTACCTCAAAATACGGATTATTGCATCCATAGGAGCTTCACTAGGTGAGTGCATAAACTAACTTACCACACTAACTGCGTAAGCAATGTCAGGGCGAGTGTGAGACAAATAAATTAATCTTCCCACAGGCCTCTGATATTGTTCCTTATGAGTAGGAACTTAATCCGAAAATAAGCCTAGACGATGATTCTGCTCAATCAGAGTATCAACAAGTTTACAATTTAACATACCTGTTTCATCTGACAAATCAAGAACATACTTCCGTTGAGAAAAAAAAAATACTATGCTTGAATCGTGCAACCTCGATTCCAAGAAAATACTTCAATTCACCCAATTCTTTCATTTCAAATTCAGCAGCTATGTACTTTTGAACGCATTGTATCTCATTCTGATCATCACCAGTCACTATCATGTCATCAACACAAATAATCATTGCAGTTAGCTTACCATTTTGTCGCTTTAGAAACTAAGTATGATCTGAATGACTCTGGACATACCCAAACTTCTTCATTGAACTTGTAAACCTCCTAAACCATGCTCTAAGAGATTGTTTCAAACCATACAAAGCCTTTCGCAACCTGCATACAACACATTTTCCAGGAGATGTTCCGATACTAAGTGGGAGAGCAATATAAACTTCATCTTTGAGATCACCATGAAGGAAAACATTCTTAACATCAAACTACAACAGAGGCCAATCCTGGTTTGCTGTTAAGGACAGAAGAACACGCACAATATTAAGTTTGGCAACATGAGCAAAAGTCTCCTAATAGTCCACCCCATAGGTTTGAGTACAACTCTTAGCATCTAATCTAGCTTTATACCAGTCAATAGAACCATCTGCTTTGTGCTTAATAGTGAACACTCATCTACATCTAACAACTTTCTTCCCGTTTGGTAAATGAACCAAATCCTAAGTGGAATTCTTTTCCAAAACTTCCATCTCAACTCTCATGGCATTAACCCACTTAGAGTCAGACAAAGCACCATGCAATTTTGTTGGAATTGATACAGTAGATAGCTGACATATGCAATATGCATATGGTTTGGACAAATGATAAGTAGACATAATTGTTGATAGGATATTTGGCTTTGGCATTAATATCAGGCTCATATTGTACTTTAGGTTTTCCACGATTAGCTCGTAGAGGCAACTGATAAGTAAAAGAATTGTCAAAATTTACTTTTTGTATGTCACCATCTTGTGCCAAAACTGTTAGAAGAATCATCACTGGTCGAACCATCATCAGGAAACTCATTAGACATACTAGCAGCATGCAACCAATCATTAGAAGGTAATTTGTCAGACATACTAACAGGTAACTCGTTGGGCACATCTGATCTGTCATCAGTAGCAATAGTTTCGGGAATGACAGGTGACCAATCATTATCTATAGCCAACTAATCAGTATCACGCAAAACGCAACATAATAAGTTATATCCCCAACTCTGTCTGTAACACATCATCCATACCATATCATCGAATATGCACTTCACTCCCACTATCCCCTTGAAATTGAGAGTCGGAAGAGGGCTTCACAAAATACTAAACTTCCTCGTGGAAGGTAACATCCATGGTAATATAAATTTTCTAAGTCGGAGGATGATAACATTTATAGCCTTTCTGATTGTTAGCATACCCAATAAATACACGTTGAAGAGCATATACATCAAGTTTACTCCGCTGATGAGAGTAGACATACACATAGGCAATACACCCAAACACCTTCAGATGAGGTTTTGATACAGAAACTAGATAAACATGTTTTTGTAGCACATCAAGCGGTGTTTGAAAACCAAGAACCCTACTTGGAACACGATTTTTTAAATACACAACAGCCAAAATAGCATGGCCCCACAAATGATTAGGAACACATTTATCCAACATCAAGGAGCAAGCAACCTCCATTATTTGACGATTCTTCTGTTTGGACACACCATTTTGTTGGGGTGTAAAAGAAGTAGTCGTCTGGTGAATAATACCTTGATCACAAAAAAAACATGCCAAAGTGTGATTCATATATTCTCATCCGTTATAAGACCTGAAGACTTTAACTTTGGTATGAAACTGAGTAGACACCATTGCACAAAATTCTTGAA